TTATCTGCACCATCAAGGTGAAGTGTCATGAGCCCCTTGCTCCGCAAAGCTCGTGGAAATAGAGTACCATGAATCAGATCGAGAGACAAGCTTCATGAAGAATCATGGGTTCTTTTTTTTTTCTTTGCTTTTCTTTTTTGTGAGACAGTCTCACTGTCACGCAGGCTGGAGTGAGGTGGTGCGATTTTGGCTTACTGCAATCTTTGCCTCTCAGGCTCACCTGCCTCAGCTTCCTATAGGCAGGTGCAAGCCACCATGCATGGCTGATTTTCATTTTTTGTAGAGACAAGGTCTTGAGAGGTGTCACTATGTTGCCCAGGCTGGTCTTGGACTCCTGGGCTCAAGTGGTCCTCCTGCCTTGGCCTCCCAAAAGTGCTAGGATTACAGGCATGAGCTGCCCTGCCCAGCCTGGGATCATGGGTTCTTTAACTGTACCCTCTTCAGAGCTTAGCCCAGTATGGGATATAAAGAAGCTTCTCAGAATAGATTGACTATTATTTGCAAAGGTAATCAGAAGTGAGTCTGTATTTGGAACAGATACCAGAGAATGCAGTCTCCGCGATGAGATCATCTGGGCCCTGTGAAAGAAACTGTTTGGCAGAGGTGGTTGCTTTTCAAAGCTGGCTGGGTGTGTTTTGGTCCTGTGTTAGCTGTTTAGAGTCAAGGCTGGCCTCAGTGAGAAGCGAAGAGCCAGCGAGTGGGTGGTCTAGCCTCCTGCACTCAAATATGTCTCCCCCAAAAGCTGAGAGTCCCTTTGGAATTCAGTTTCTTTCCATTATTTCTGCCTGTTCAAATGTGAACACCTTGTCCTGAATGGTGAATGAATTGTTTTCTTCCCCATTAGGGCTTCTAATTGAAAACCACACCCTACCAGATGAAATGCAGAAGTGATATTTGTGGAAAGTAGTCTGGGTGGAAACCCTCCTCTAAATCCCATCTGAGATCTCAAAGGACACTGGTTCTCAGAAGAGCCTAGAAGACAGAGACAGGGGCAAGGAGGGGTCCCACAGCTGCCCAACACCAGCCAGCACATAATTTGGGCCAAGATTTGGTTAATTGTGGGTTGGGACAAAGTGAAAGAAAACATGGCTCACAAAGGAAGTCCAATGGCACCCATAAGACACATGTACTCAGTTACCGACATGGGGAGGAGCAAGTTTGGAAGCCGCAACTGTCACCATCAGGGAGAGCTGGGACCACAGCTAGGAGACAGGACCTCTAGTCAGAGTCGCTGGTGTTTCAGGGATGGAAGACTCAGATGCTACAGGCTTGACCTGCCTTCAAGGTATGATTGATGGCAGGTATGCTGAGAAATTTATTTGCCTCCTGGAATGTTTTCCCTACCTGCTCACAGATGCCTGACATTCCTTTTAACAGGGAACAAGCCTTGCATTACAGAGCAAAAGAGCAAGCTTAAAACGGCCGTCGGAGGAGAATTTCATATCTGAGAAAGACAGCAAGAGGGGGAGAATGGTTGTGTGTGTGTGTGTGTATGTGTGTGTGTGTTTGTCTAGGATGGTATAATTTTGCTCAAGGCCATCGAAATAAGAAAATTTGGAGGCTGGGCACAGTGGCTCACACCTATAATCTCAGTCCTTTGGGAGGCTGAGGCAGGCGGATCATTTGAGGTCAGGAGTTCGAGACCAGCCTGGCCAACATGATGCAACCCCGTCTGTACTCAAAATACAAAAAAATTAGCCAAGAGTGGTGGCACACGTCTGTGGTACCAGCCACTCGGGAGATTGAGGCAGGAGAATCACTTGAACCTGGCAGGTGGAGGTTATAGTGAGCCGAGACTGAGCTATTACACTCCAGACTGGGTGACAGAGCTAGAATCCATCTCAAAAAAAAAACAAAAAAGAGAAAGAAAATTTGGAGTCCTGTTGGTGGGGTGGGAGGAGGGAAAGCACAGGAAGAATAGCTAATGAATGCTGGGCTTAGTACCTAGGTAATGGGTTGACCTGTGCAGCAAACCACCATGGCACACATTTACCTATGTAACAAACCTGCGCATCCTGCACATGTACCCTCAAACTTAAAATAAATGTTGATTTAAAAAGTAAAAAGAAAATTTGCTTTCTCCCCCACATAATAGCAGTAGCAGCAGCATTTCAGAATGGCTTTATTTTTTCCCAGCTTTAAGAACCAGAGGAAAGCAAGGCCTTTCTTCCAGGCAAGAATATGAAAAAAAGGGGGGGGGGTTGTTGCTTTAAGGGGAGTTGCGCTTGTTTTTTTTTTGTCTTTTTTTTTTTTTTTTTTTTCCTTTTTGTGGAGAACGGGGTCTCGCTATATTACCCAGGCAGGTCTCGAACTCCTGGGCTCAAGCTATCCTCCCGCCTCTGCCTCCCTGAGAGCTGGGATTACAGGCGTGAGCCACCGCGCCCGGCCTCATATTCTCGATTTAAATTCTTTCATAGATCTCAAATTGTCGCTCTGAAATGCAGTACTTCCCTCTGCTGGCCATAGGGTTGTATAGCTCATCAAAAACAAGGATGTCTCCCAAGTCCTCTCCCTTATCCAAGACTAAGGAATTGACTCTGGACATGAGGTAGGAGATAAATCAAATATAGGATGATTTTCCAACCCTCACGCCCCCTCAGAAAACATCCTTGAGTGTCTTTTGGCTCTGAATTTAAACAGGTTTATCTAGCTTCTCCAGCCTGTGCTTAGCCAATCAGGTCACATTGGCATGAATGTGCAAAGAACAATGGCTTGGAGCCCCACCCACGCAATTGCAGGACCTTGGCCCCCTTCCAAAACCTCCCTTGGAGATTCTGGAATACTTTCAGGGGGCTGAGGCTCATGATTTGGGGTTTGGGACCTCACAGAGAATCCACCATGTTCTTCTTGCTGGCTTCTGTCCCTACACCATCTCTTGGTTAAAAAGCCCCTCAAGGGCTCAAGCCGGGTGCGGTGGCTCACACCTGTAATCCCAGCACTTTGGGAGGCCAAGGTGGGCGGATCACCTGAGGTCAGGAGTTTGAGACCTCCCTGACCAACATAGTGAAACTCCGTCTCTACTAAAAATGCAAAAATTAGCTGGGCATGGTGGCACACACCTGTAATTCCACCTACTTGAGAGGCTGAGGCAGGGGAATCGCTTGAACCTGGGAGGCAGAGGTTGCAGTGAGCTGAGATAGCACCACTGCATTCCAGCCTGGGTGACAGAGCAAGACTCCATCTCAACAACAGCAACAAAAGCCCTTGAAAGAAATGTCCTGCTGCTCTATTGTCCTGCCTGAGCCGGAGTCTGCTAATTCTCAAATCTGCCTCAGTTGCAGTCCTGCTAGTGGCGGTTTCTGTGCAGACGTAGGAAAAAGGGCCCCACAAGGTAGTTGGAATTTATTCCAATATATTTGTATGACCAAATAACAAGTTACATGCTCTCCATTGCATGGTGGTGCGTTTTGGTTAAAAAGCTACCATATCCTAGCAGGGTGGTGGTGATGCGTACCTATAGTCCCAGCTACTCAGGAGGCTGAGGGAGGAGGATTGCTTGAGCCCAGAAGTTTGAAATCAGTCTGGACAACATAGTGAGACCCCGTCTTTTTTTTTTTTTTTTTAAAAGGTACTGTGCTTAGGGGGCTTTTTGTGAAACTGACTTTCTACAAATTGATTCTGAAATCAGAGTGAAAACTCTACTAGTATTTTCTATTTCTTTAAGATGTTTTATTTTATTTATTTATTTATTTATTTATTTGAGACAGAGTCTCCCTTTGTTGCCAGGCTGGAGCGCAGTGGTGTGATCTCGGCTCACTGCAACCTCCGACTCCCTTGTTCAAGCGATTCTCCTCCTTCAGCCTCCCGAGTAGCTGGGATTACAGGCACACGCCACCACGCCCAGCTGATTTTTGTATTTTTAGTAGAGGCAGAGTTTCACCGTGTTGGCCAGGATGTTCTTGATCTCCTGACCTCGTGATCCGCCCACCTCGGCCTCCCAAAGTGCTGGGATTACAGGCGTGAGCCACCACCCCTGGCCAAGATGTTTTATTCAAATTCTACTTTGATTTTATTTGAGGCCTTCAAAACCTTCCGTAATGAAGTGTGGATACATCCCTTAGGATGAGAAATAGAGCCTAAAGGAGATGTTCTCAACATGACTCTCCAGTAATCAGTGGTAGTAAGTACTAGGGTCAAACCTCACCTTGGGGAGAAAAAGGGTATTTATAGGTTTATGGGCCTTTCTCAAAGGCACACTGAAAAATACAAAACACAGGTCTCAATGTAGAGGCTGAGAAGTGGGAGCATATCCAGTTTTTAAAAGCAAATAAAATACCAGTTATTACTTGTGACACAAGCAAGCCGGAACCCCAAGACCCAGAGGTGCTTCTTGGCATCTGGAAGAAGCCGATGTGGTGGCAGTGCTCTGAGTCGGGGGATGCTCAAGGATTACTCTGTAGGCCTTCAGTGATGTGTTTAGTGCTGCAGCGGGAAACTTCACCTCTCTTTTAACGCTAGTCTAAGGCCTCAGCTCTGCTCTGATAGGAGCTACTGGAAGCAAGTGACTTTGCAGAGGACCTAAACTGTAAGAAGTTCACATTGAAAGTTGTAGCCAAGGTCGGTTTCGTGGGTGTGCATCCGGCATAGACAGGGCCTCATGCTCAGAAATGCTCTGTTCAAAAGGGTCCTGCACTGGGGGGCTAATGCTCCATGACTACTGTCTTAGAATTCTTTTCTGTTTTTTTTTTTTTTTTTTTTGAGACGGAGTCTCACTGTGTCGCCCAGGCTGGAGTGCAGTGGCCGGATCTCAGCTCATTGCAAGCTCCGCCTCCCGGGTTTTTACGCCATTCTCCTGCCTCAGCCTCCCGAGTAGCTGGGACTACAGGCGCCCACCACCTCGCCCGGCTAGTTTTTTGTATTTTTTAGTAGAGACGAGGTTTCACCGTGTTAGCCAGGATGGTCTCGAACTCCTGACCTCGTGATCCGCCCGTCTCGGCCTCCCAAAGTGCTGGGATTACAGGCTTGAGCCACCGCGCCCGGCTCTTTTCTGTTTTTTTGAGGTGGGGGGTCTCGCTATGCTTCCCAGGCTGGACTCAAATACCTGGGATCAAGTGATTCTCCCTCCTCAGCTTCCTGAGTAGCTGGGACTACAGGTGTGTGCCACTGCACCCAGCTTGTCTTAAAATTCTTAACAATTTTATCTTTGCATTTGCATTTTGCAAGTGAAGTCCAATGGGACAATACAGCATGCACTGAGGGCTTGGGGTCTTGGCCGATGCATGGTCTGCCTCTCCCTGTTTCCCTGGAACAGTTCTCAGCTGCCTGTTCCCCGCTCCCTGGTTCTCCAGGCCCCACCTGACTTCACCTTCCTTGCTGAACTCTGCCTGCTGTAGGGGCCTAGCTGTGGGCACAGGGAGAAGTGAGGTTGAGCTGGTGTGCCCTATGGCATTTTGGGGAGCAGCAGGGTGGCAGCCATCCTTGCCCTGGGCTGGCAGCACCATGGTGCCTTTGATGGTCAGCAGCAGGACCAGGTCTCTCAGCCATCCCCTGGCCAGGTGCTGAGACTGCTTTGGAATGGAGATTTAATCCCTTGGGGTCTCCCAGCAGCCATGGGTTGGGGCAGCAGGTCCATGGGAAGGGAATACTGACGGCCTCACCTCATCCTTGCCCCTGGGCAGAGACGGCATGTCAGTCTGGTGGTCTAGCCAGAGGAGGACTCCTGGAGCTGGTGAACTGTGCATGGATATGCAGTCATGGGCAGCCCACCTCCTACTCCTCACCCCCCAGTGCCTGCGAGGGTCTGCACTCACCCTGTAAGTATCTCTGTGCCCAAGGAAGCATAGCATCAAATAGCAAATAAACACCAAGAAAGGGCAAGAGAAAGACCACAGAAGAAAGGAAAAGTTTGTATTTTAGTGCCTCTAATGACACTTTTCCCCCCTACCCATCTTTTCTTTTCTTTTTTTCTTTCTTCTTTCTTCTTTTTCTTCTTCTTCTTCTTTTTTTTTTTTTTTTTTTCAGGGTCTTGCTTTATTGCCCAGGCTGGAGTACAGTGGCGCAATCACAGCTCACTGCAGCCTCAACCTCTTGGGCCCAAGCAATCTTCCCACCTTGGTCTCCTAAAGTGCTGGGATAACAGTCATGAGCTGCCACACCTGGCTGAGGCCTCACATTTTCATTTTGTGCTGAGACTTGTAAATTAGGTAGCTAGCCCTGGCTGTAGCAGAGGGTATAGATTCTTTTTCTGGCTCTGTTTTTGTGACATCTCAACTTACTGGGCTCTTATTAAAGGTGATTTAGGTGACTTATTAACTTTTCATGAGTACAGATGAAGAACTCTTCTAGGGCAGGGGTCTCCGTCCCCTGGGCCACAGACCAGTACTGGCCTCAGGAACCAGGCCGCACAGCAGGAGGTGAGTGGCAGGCAAGCAAGTCAAGCTTCATCTGTATTTACGGCCACTCCCCATTGCTGGCATTATTGCCTGAGCTTGGCCTCCTGTCAGATCAGTGGCGACCTTGATTGTCATAGGAGCATGAACCCTCTAGTGAATGGCGCATGGGAGAGATCTAGGTTGCACGCTTCTCAGGAGAATCTAATGCCTGATGACCCGTCACTGTCTCCATTACTCCCAGATGCGATCGTCTAGTTGCAAGAAAACAAGTTCAGGACTCTCACTGATTTTACCTTATGGTGAGTTGTATAATTATTTCATTATATATTACAATGTAATAATAATAGAAATAAAGTGCACAATAAATGTAATGCACTCGAATCATCCCTAAACTATCCCCTGCCACCCTAGTCTGTGGAAAAATGGTCTTTCATGAAACTGGTCCCTGTTGCCAAAAAGGTTGGGACTGCTGCTCTAGAAGGTATGGGATTGGGAGGCGGGGGTCACACAGATAGCCACTGACAACCTAAGAATAGTGAGCATGGGCCTGTGAAAACAGATCAATAGGTGTTTGTGGAAGGTATTGATGAATACATGAATGAATGAATGAAACCATAAACTAAGAAAAATGGTATGGCATGCATGAATGTGTGATGGGCCCAAAATATGATCCTCCTAGGGATATTTGCCTTAGAAAAGGAGGCAAAGGCTAAGCTAAAAAAATCTGTGGCACATGAGAGCCCTAGAGGGCTCTGGGTATGGGTGGGAGGAATCTGAAGTCTCTCTGTAGAGACTACTCTTGGGCCATCCAATCTTCTCTGCTCACTACAGCGAAGCCTTTTTCTGCCCACTACAGCTTCCCACATGCTGCTTAATGTTGATATCTAGAAGAGGTTCTAGCCTGGCATGGTGGCTCCTGTAATCCCAGCACTCTGGGAGTTCAAAGTGGGAGGATTGCTTGAGCCCAGGAGTTCAAGAACAGCCTAGGCAACCTAGTGAGACCACATCTCTACAAAAAATTTAAAAATTAGCTCAACGTGGTGGTGTGTGTCCATAGTCCCAGCTACTCAGGAGGCTGAGATAGGAGGATCACTTGAGCCCACAGGCTACAGTGAACCATGATCGTGCCACTACACTCCAGCCTGGGTGACAGAGCAAGACCTTGTCGCTCAAAAAAACAAAAAGAGAAAATAGAAGAGGTTCTTACTGTACAATAGGACTATTTATTTATTTATTTATTTATTTATTTAGTCAGAGTCTTGCTCTGTCACCCAGGCTGGAGTGCAATGGCAGGATCTCGGCTCACTGCAACCTCCGCCTGCTGGGTTCAAGTGATTCTTCTGCCTCAGCCTCCCGAGTAGCTGGGATTACAGGCATGGGCCAGCATGCCCGGCTAATTTTTGTATTTTTAGTAGATGGGGTTTCACCATATTGGCCAGGCTGGTCTTGAACTCCTGATCTCATGTGATCCACCTGCCTCGGCCTCCCAAAGTGCTAGGATTACAGGCATAAGCCACCTCACCCAGCCACAATAAGAGCTTTTTAATGAGAAGAAGACAGAAGTCTTGATAGAGAATTTCTCTTCCTGAGAGGAAGTACCAGCAGGTTATGAACCTTAGTTGATTTGTTTTTTAAAATCTCAAGCTGTAATAATTCCCAATTGCTCGGTGCACAGCGAATGAGGCTGATATTTAAACAGAATGCCGCATGGTACCCACTGTGTCCACACTTCCTCCCTGCCTGTCCTATGCCTCTCCAGGTGAGGTCCACCTTCTCCTTGAAGCCCTCTCTGACTGCTCCAGTCCCTGAGCTTTCCTTCCTGCACTCGTACAGCATGAGGAAGGCTCCATCTTTTTCTAGATGCGCTATTGTTTTAGCATTGCCGTGTGCACCTTAGAGCCTCATTGCCTCTTTGAGGCCAAGGATGGCACTGTCCCTTCTCTCTAGTTGCTCTGAGTGCCAAGCACAGCCCTGAACACCAAATACTTTGACTCTTTTCTGGCTACTCAACCCTCCTGGCTGTTCCTTCATCACCCTGGACCTGCCCCCATCCCAGGGTCTTTGCACTTGCTCTCCCTCTGCCTGGAAAGCCCTTCTCCCTGCAATCTGCAGGGCTTGATTACTCTTCTCTTTCAGGCCTTTGCTCAAATGTTACCTCATCAATGCACCCTTCGTCGACCATCCTAATTGAATATTCCAAATCTTCTTTTTTTTTTTTTTTTTTTTTGAGACAGGTCTCACGTCTGCTGCCAGGCTGGAGTGTAATGGTTCAATCTTGGGCTCACTGCAGGCTCCACCTCCCAGGTTCAAGTGTACCTCCCACCTCAGCTTCCCAAGGTAGCTGGATCTACAGGGACATGTGCCACCAACGCCCAGCCTTTTTTTTTTTTTTTTTTTTTGAGGATCAGAGTCTTGCTCTTGTCACCCAGGCTGGGGTGCAGTGGCACGATCTTGGCTCACTGCAACCTCCACCTCCCGGGTTCAAGTGATTCTCGTACCTCATCCTCCTGAGTAGCTGGGATTACAGGTGCCCGCCACCACACCTGGCTAATTTTTTTATTTTTAGTAGAGGCAGAGTTTTGCCATGTTGGCCAGGCTAGTCTCAAACTCCTAACCTCAGGTGATCCACCTGCCTCGGCCTCCCAGAGTGCTGGGATTACAGGTGTGAGCAGGCCAGGAACTATTGTGCCATGGATATTGTTGGTAGCCTATCCATCTTCCATGTCCACATCTGCAGGGGAAGGGGACCCTACCCTCAGCTCCTAGGGTGGTCCCTGGTTGGCACAGCCAGTTGGCACAGTCCATTCTCCTGAACACAGTCACAGCCTTCAGAGCGGCACCTGGGACTTGAGCTGTCCAATCAGGGAGATTCTTGGGACTCTTACCTGTAATGTTGCTGTAGACTTGTTTCCTGTTCTTTCTAGAGACATTGTTGGCCTGACTGAGCCATCTGGCCACCAGAGTGAGGATGTGGACAACATAAAGCAGAGGGCAGAACTGAGGGAACCCCAGATAAGGGGAGACAGACCTGGACTAAGGCAACTCTGAAAGGCAAGACTTTCTGGATATTTTTAAGGCACTTGGGGACTAAAGTAATAGAGAGTCTAACAAAAAAATTTAAGATGTCCATTATTTATGTTGTTCGAAGTATAAAGAAATATGGAAACTCCTTTGCTTACAAACTTCCAGCTTCCAATTAAGCAGAGGCCCCAAAGCTATAGCCCAAAGCAGAAGTATGTTGCCTTTAACAGGGGGCACCTGTCGCCGACTCCCATGAGTTTGGAGTTGGGAACACTATAGTTGGCATTTTCAGCTTGTTCTAGAAGTCCAGGACTATGTATTTTGTCTTCTTAACCTGAATGGGATTCTCCCCAATCCAGGGAATGAGCTGTGAGCTTTTTTTTTCTTTTTTTTTGAGACAGGGTCTCACTCTGTCACCCATGCTGGAGTGCAGTGGTACAATCATCATCATGGCTCACTGCAGCCTTGACCTTCTGGGCTCAAGCAATCCTCCTGCCTCAGCCTCCCAAGTAGCTGGGACTATAGGCATGTGCCAACAAGCCCAGCTGATTCTTGTGCTTTTGTAGAGATGGGATTTCACCTTGTTGCTCAGTCTGGTCTCAGACTCCTGGACTCAAGTGATCTGCCTGCCTCAGCCTCCAGAAGTGCAGGGATTACAAGTGTGAGCCACCGCGCCTGACTTCTCTCTTATTGGAATGAAAGTTTTCAGGGGATGCACATTTCAGCTCCCTGCACCCCTGTAATGACAAGACGGACCAATGCTGTAATGTCCTCTTCGCAAATGGCCGAGAGCACACAGATCTGACATGCGTGGAAGGTATTGTGAGGCTGTGTTCTGAAAAGGAATAGTAAACTGGGAAAAGTTTCTCTTCAAACAAACAAAAACCTGGCCTCTGCCAAGCAGGTGCTTCTCCCAGGTTCTTGGCTTCCCAGTTTACTTCCTGGCTTATCTGTAGCAAATGGTCGCTGAGAACCTGGAAGCAATTCCTCATTTGCAAGTCAATGGCAGATTTTTTTGTTTTTTTTCCTTTTTGAGACAGTCTCGCTTTGTCGTTCAGGGTAGAGTGTATGGTGTGATCTCAGCTCACTGCAACCTCAGCCTCCTGGGTTCAAGTGATTGATTCTCCTGCCTCTCGTCCCAAGTAGCTGGGACTATAGGCATGTGCCACCATGGCCAGCTAATTTTTGTATTTTTAGTAGAGACGGGATTTTGCCATGTTGGCCAGGCTGGTCTCGAATTCCTGACCTCAATAATCCCCCCTCCTCGGCCTCCCAAAATGCTGGGATTACAGGCATGAGCCACCATGCCTGGCCATAATGGCAGATTTTTAGGTGAAAAGAAAAGCACAGTTAATGGCCAGGTGCAGTGGCTCACGCTATAATCCTAGCACTTTAGGATG